ACTGGTCTATATAGAGAGAGTTCAGGGATAGCTGCACAGAAAAACCCTGTATTGAAAAACAAACAACAACAACGCCCAATAAAATAAACAAATTTCACTCTGGAGCTGGGCATGGTAGCACATGCTTCTAATGCCAGCACTCAGGAGCAGAGGCAGGTGGGTCTCTGAGGGTTTGAGACCAGCTTAGTCTACAGAGAATTCTACCCAAGGTTAAACAGTCTGCCCCCACCTCAATATTTTTTAATGCAAATATTGTTTTTAACTTAAATTTATTTTTCATCATTTGTACCAGGTCTCTGGCACTTTCTTCTTCCCTATAGGTATTTTCAAGTTTGACTTTAAGAAAATATTTATTTTATGTATATGAGTGTTTCCCTTAATGAGTATATATGAACCACATGTAAGGAGGCCAGAAAAGGGGTGGATCCCTTGAAACTGGGTTTACAGGCAGTTCTGAGTTGCCATTTGGGGATTGGGAACTGAATCTGAGTTCTCTGATAGAGCAGTAAATGCTCAAAACCATTGAGCAATCTCTTAAATCCCTGATTTTTCACTTTTTTTAAACATTAAAGGCATAACTGTCTCATTAGATACATCTAATAATTCCAGCACCTGTCTTTATTCATAGCCTGCTGTTGCTTCTAGTACACTCAAGACACCCCAGATCTTTGCTTCTTTGGTTTGTTAGTTTACTTGTTTAAACAATAGAAAGTTTTTCTTCATAATTCTTAAGGCTGGATGTCTGATATCAGTGACAGTAGGGTTGGTAAGGGCTCTCCTCTTTCTGGTCCATAGAGAACTGATATCCTGTTGTGTGTTGCCATGGCTTTTTCCTGATATATGCAGAGACACAGCGGGAGTAACCTTTTTGCTCTCTATTTATGGAGTCACTCTGTAATCCTCTTGGACGATGGCCCCACTCCATGAGTTCACCTAATTTTAATTATATCCCTAAACTAATTATGCTGGAATTAGTGACTTTCTATGAATTCTGGGTGATCGCAAGCACTTGGTTTACAGCTCTTGGGCAAGGCAGTACCATGAGTGGTTTTTTCAGCCCCACATGGCCATTTAAGAATGGAGGCTCACATTAAACCCAGCACTCGGGAGGCAGAGGCTGACGTATCTCTGTGAGTTTGAGACCAGCCTGGTCTACAAGAGCTAGTTCCAGGACAGCTTCCAAAGCCACAGAGAAACCTTGCCTCAAAACCCGCCTGCCCCAGAATAAAAAAGAATGGACCTTGAGGGAGGTATGGAGAGATGGCTCAGTGATTAAGAGCACTGGCTGCTCTTCCAGAGGACCTGTTTATTTCCTATCACCCACATGGTAGCTAACAACTGTCTGTGACTCCACAGATATACATGCAGACAAGACACCCATACACATAAAATTAAAAATAAAAAAGGAATGGACTCTGGACCTGGAATACAGGGATTGTTCTCAGGTTATCACTTTGTGCCAGAATATCCTGTCCAGGGTTAGCTCCTTTATTCTGCTTATATATGTTTGTTTCATGACCCTTGGGTAAATCCAACATCTGCCTTCCACAAGGTGGGTACAGAGCAAGTTTACCCCAGCAGGACAAGAACAGGGTACACAGCCAGTTGCCCTGCATTTGCTTGTGGTGGGATCTGCTGAACAACAGGGACCAACACATGCTCCAGAAGTGAAGTCTCTTCCTTTTCTGTGTAGGTGAATTATTGTTTCATTTAGTGCTCAGCCACTGCCGCTTATGACTCTGATTTTAAGAACAGAGGGCAGAAGTGTTTAGTATCCTCCTCTAGGACTGGCAAGTGGCATATAATATTCTGCTTAACAATAAGAAACACTCCAGTTTGGGCATGTTGACACACTCCTGTAATCCCAGCACTTGGGAGGTAGGGACAGGAGAATCCGGAGTTCACTGTCATCCTTGGGTACATAGTATGTTAGAAGCCAGGCTGGGAACCAAGAGGGCCTGTTTCGAAAAACCCAAAGTAAATAAAATTTAAAAGTAAGCAACATGATTGTATATCATGCTTCAGATTAAGTACTGAGATTAAAGGAATGTACCACCATGCCTAGTAACCTGTAACCTGAGGCTTTTAGGTGCCCTGCCTGGCCCCTCAGCCACTTATAAAATAATCACTCAATGGCTTAATATCCATTATAATTGTTTGGCTGATGGCTCAGGCCTATTACTGGCTAGCTCTTACATTTAAATTCATCCATTTCTATTAATCTGTGTATTGCCATGTGGCTGTGGCATTGACTCATTTTCTACATGTCTTGCTTTCTTGGCAGCTAGCTCAACCCCGCCTTCTCTGTCCCTGTCTTCAGTTTGGCTTTCCCACCTAGCTATATTCTGCCCTGCCACAGGCCAAAGCAGGTTTATTAATTAACCAATAGAAGCAACACATATTCACAGCTTACAGAAGGACATCTCACTTCACTTTTGACTTCATTATCCTTGAATTATGTAAAGGATTTCCATGACGGCTAAGGAAAAGTGCATTGCTCAGGAGAAATCTTGTGTTTCGTTTTCTCAATGCCTATGTTTCCCATTTGCTTAAAACTTGTGTTTTAAAAAATAATCTAAGTAATATGAATTTGGGTTGCAAATCTAATCAAGATCAGACAAGAGTAACTTCTAGCAATACCACCAGGAGGCTTCATAGTTGCCAGGTTCAGACTTACTTGCACTTTACCTTCTTGTTGCTCTTGTAGCCTTTTGGAGCCGTAGATTTATGGGAAAGTTGTTCTTCCACTATGTGGTCACTTCGAACCCATTAGTCCTATACTGCTATTTAGATACATGTTTACTATAAACAAAATGCAACAAAGCCTAGCTTTAAATTTTTAAAAATTATTTTCCTACTATGAATTTTTTGCCTGAACATATGTGTACCGATTCATGCCTGATGCCTCATACAGGACAAGTGTTGAATCCACTGGAACTAGAGTTACAGTCAGTTGCTGAGAATAAAACTCAGGTCCTCTGGAAGAGCAGCCAAGGACTCTGAACTGCTGAGCCATCTCTCCAGCACCCTAAAACGAGCTCTTGTCCTCAAGGTAAGAGCAGTTTTTGAATTTTGTTTTTTTCACTCCGAGTTCCTATCACCCAAATACTATGCCTATGTCCTTTCTGTCTTGTTATCTCTTTGATAGGATGTATTTTAACGATGTCAATCAGCATTTCTGGATGTTTTCAGCAGAAAGTTGGGTTAGACAATTTGCGTACTTCCTCCAATTGCTTTTATTCTTTTAAATTCCCAAGATTTCATTATTCACTCATTTTAACACATTCTTATTGAATGAATATGTCCACAACACAGCTGCTGCTGTCTGCTGTAGTACTTACTGAGAAATAGTGGGGACATGGTAGTTGACTGAGTCAACTTGATTGGGCAACGCTACACATATATTTGATTACACATTTTTTACGACAGGGGCTGGTGTCTATAATCCCAGTACTTGGCAGGCTGAGGCAGGATTATCCTGACTCTGAGGTCAGCCTGGCCTATAGAGTGAGACCTATCTCACAAAAATCAACTCCACAACCAAAACAACAACAAAAGGAATTTTGTGGGAGGGCCTCAGACAGCAACTCTTTTCATCTCCAGCCTGCCACTAGAGCCTACTGATTTCAGATATGCAATTTCTTCTCTCTCTCTCTCCTTCCTTCCTTCCTTCCTTCCTTCCTTCCTTCCTTCCTTCCTTCCTTCCTTCCTGTTTTTTGAGACAGAGTTTCTCAGTGTAACAGTCCTGGCTCTCCTGGAACTTGTTGACCAGGCTGGCTTCAAACTCACAGATCTGCCTGCCTCTGGCTCCCAATTGCTGGGATTAAAGGCTTGGGGCACTACACCTGAATTTTAAATCCTTTTCTTTGTATCTATACACACATTCTGATGGTTTATTTCTTCTGAGCAAGATAGATTTTAACAGGTCTCGGAGGAACTGAAGTCTGGCTGGGACACTCGCTGTTCTGATAGTCACATTCAAAACCAAAAACTCCTTTTGGAGCCATCATACCTCAGGCTTTACAGATTTAAGCAGTTGAGTCCTGCACTGCAGATCATTGTCACTAACCTGGAACCTCTGGCAGGTTGAGGGGACAGCTGAACAGCAGCTGGTAGGTGAGCAGCAAGTGTGATTAGGGCAAGGGAGCATGCAAAGGATCTCTGCAACCACCATGGCCAGCAGAGTAAGGACCTGCAGCTAGAAGCAAGAAGGCAGTTCGGTTCATCATGACTAAGTAGCTGGTGTTGGTTCTGACCCTGAGTAGTTTATTTAGGCATATCGCAGGCACAGCACAATTTGGTGAAAAAAATTCCTAGTGATAATGAACTCATTCTCGCGTGTATAATAAAGTTTAAGACTTGTGTCTTTGTAAAGTACGTGTGACATCTTCCGTAAAGATGAGTTCTATAGATTGACAAGCTCATAAGGGTCCGGTGTGGTCTGAGCCACACAGATAGCGCAAAGGTCACCAGGCTGTTAACCACTCCTGCTCCTCTGAAGGAACAACGCTGTGTGTTTAACATTCTTGGTTCCCCTAGTGCTCATCTGAGAGCACGAGGACCTCCGTGTCTCCCATAGGAGGGCATGTCTGTCGGCCAGGGAAATGGCACGGTGAGCACAGTCTGAGAAGGGATTACATCACCCTCTGCACAACCCCGGGGCTCAGCTTCACCTCACTAACGGTTTCACGGACAGTTCTGCTGGGCTGGGTAGAGCCGGGAGGCGGGAGCGACCTCCCTCTGTCTTCACAGCTGTCTGGGAAGTGTTTTGAAGCAGTTTGAATTGAGAAGAAGTTAGTATGCCAGAGCGTCTAGGCCGGGGAGGCACCCACGTCCCCAGCTCCTGCCCCGGGAGCAGCAGCAGGGAACCGGCGGGTGTGGCCCTGAGGCTCATCCGATCCTAACCGGTCGGGCCCCGCCCCTCCAGAGGTTTCCCCGCCCCTTCCTTCTCATCACCCAATCCCGTCACGGGCCTGTGTCTGCCCCGCCCCGCCTCTCTGCTTGCTTCTGCTTCGCTGCTGAAGCAGGTTTGCTGCCGCGCAACTGCCATGGAGACGCTGCTGAAGCGTGAGCTGGGCTGCAGCTCGGTCAAAGCTACGGGCCACTCGGGAGGCGGGTGCATTAGCCAGGGCCAGAGTTACGACACGGACAAAGGACGAGTGTTTGTGAAAGTGAACTCCAAGGCAGAGGTAGGGCCACCGGCGCTGGGTCGGGGTCCGGCTCCTTGGCCCGCAGCGAAAGTGGGGCCTAGAGTGTCCTGGGTGTGTGTGTCGGAGATCCCGAGCTCCAGCTCCGGGTCTAGGGTCGTGGTGGGTAGCGCCGGAGACCCAGCCTGCAGCCATAGGCTCTGTCTGCCCGCCGTCCACGCGTGGCCTCCTACCCCGGCTCCCTGCCTCGGGCCTCCCGGCCTTTGCCCGCCGGCTCTGGCCGCATTGGCCACGCGGGTGCTGCCCGTGGTATCCTGAGACTGCAGCGCCTACTTCTTTGAGGAAAGCCTTTCTGTTGGGCGAGTTTTGAGAAACGTCAGGGTACACGCATTTTTAATCTGGAGCTTATTTCAACTCGCAGACACTGAAGCTCACAGATCAAAGATCTTGAAGTATCAAACATAATGCACGCACCCCTCCACGTTCTGCATGTGCGTGAACTTTTTCTGAAGCGTAGGGCGAGCTCCACGGCTTCAGTTGTGTTCCTGGTTGCTGCTGTCCCTCTGTCATTTTAAGCTGTTCACTCCAGGTCTTGGTTGGAAGGGAGGTGATGGCTTCTGAAGGACCTGCATGTCTTTTTTGAATAAGACTGAAGGTGTTTATTTTCTTGCCAAGCCCTACACATCACACACCCTCAAAGGGCTTTTGAGTGCTGGGGTTACAGGCTTTAGCCGCAAGCCTGGCTTGCATTTGTGTTCATTTTTCTTTCAAGAAAGGAATCCTGCCTTTCACATGTGTGTTAGCCTTTGAAATTATTTTCTCAAGACATGCCTCCAACCCCTATCTACAGACATCAGTTGAACTCTGTCAACTGTCCTTGAAGTCACTCTTGCACAATAACTTATCCTCAGCACCGGTACTTAGTGTGATAGTGATGTCATATTCTACAGGCTGGCCTCAAACTTAGAGATGTGCTTTGCAGAGGACCTGAGTTCAATTCCTAGCTGTGAACTTGCATTCTCTGTCTTTCAGAAAGTGTGTGTGTGTGTGTGTGTGTGTGTGTGTGTGTGTGTGTGTGTGTGTGTTTTGTTTCATAGGCACAGTTCACTCTGTAAGTAGCCCAGGCTAGTCTGGAACTTACTATGGAAGTCCTCAGCCTCTCAAGTGGTAGCTAGCCAGCATATACTGCTGAGTTCTTTTTTTAAGACATACTAATTTATTCAGTTTTAAAGATGTTATCAGTGTGTGTATATGTTGTGTGGGATGTAAGTGTGGTGCCCATGGAAACCAGAGGCATCAGATCTTCCTAAAGCTGGAATTGCAGGTGGCTATGACCTACCTGATGTGGGAGCTAGGAATTGAACTCAGGACCTCTGCAAGAGCAGTATGCACTTCTAACCAACAAGCTATCTCTCCAGCCCCCTCCCTCCTGGGTTATTTCCACTTCAAAGTCAATTTTCAATTTTCCAATCTTCTTCCTTTGATAATTGGTTTTTGTTTTTGTTTGCTTGATTGCCCTCCCCCGCCATGAGACAGGGTTTCTCTGTTTTAACAGTCCTGACTGTTGGTGGTGGTGGTGGTGGTGGTGGTGGTGGTGGTGGTGGTGGTGGTGGTGGTGCATGCCTTTAACCCCAACACTTGGGGTGCAGAGGCAGGTGGATCTGTACAAGTTCGAGGGAAGCCTGGTCTATGGTGTGAGTTCCAGGACAGGTTCCAAAGCTACACAGAGAAGCCCTGTCTCGAAAGACAAAAAAACAAAACAAAACAAAACAGTCTTGGCTCTCCTTGAACTCACTCTGTAGACCAGGCTGGCCTTGAACTCACTGAGATCTGCCTGCCTCAGCCTCCTGAGTGCTGGGATGAAAGGCAAGGCCTTCTTGCTTGCTCTGGAATATATGGTATGAATGATGCAGGTACATGGGCCATCAGATAAACATCAGATAAACATTGTAAATATAACTTGTATTGGAAATCCAACTCGTCCATGCTTCACTTTCTATGATTTAAGATTTTTACAACTCCCTTCCTGCTCTTGTGTTTTCTTTCTTTTGCCTTTCTAGGATCCACCTGGCCTATGATTGTTCGTATGTGACGATTGTGAACTTACATGACTGGTTTATCTCATTTTTAGATTGTTTCCCAGTTTTGTTTTGTTTTCACAATGGTCCAAATGAGGCTTAATTTTCCTATAGGTCTATTCACGAGTAGCTAGCTACTTTTGTAGCTTGGAGTCTTCAGACCACATAAGCAGTCAATTACGTCTGTAAAGGAGCCCTGCCTCTTAATGGCTTCAAAGCCCCTTTTAAATCCTCTCCTGAATTTTTTTTTTCAATGCTGTATCTTAAAGTAGTCTCTATCACCAGGACTTTTTCAAGAGTTTAGTTTCTCCTTCATATTCTAAAGAGACTTCTCTGAAGGTTCTGTCTAGGACATAGTTCCTATCTTCCTTCTCAGAAACTTGGGCCCTGTTAGTGAGTAATCCTAACATTTGTAGTGCTCAGAATGGGCTGTGTGTTAGCTGCTAATACAGTTAATCATAACCCAAGCCTAAGAAGTTTAGTATTCTTTCATTTTATAGGTGAGGAAACTGAAGCAAAGACAGCTTAAATAACTGGCCCAAGATCATAGAGTAAGTAGAATTTCCATGACAGAACTGTTCAGTAGGATGGTATGTTCACACTATGAAATAGTGAGCATGATGAAGGTATAACAAATACATCAGAGCCCATATGACTCTGTAAAGTGATCAAGCAGCACTCAGGAGGATGAGGCAGGAGGATTGTGAGTTTGAGGCCAGCATAGACTAACATAGCAAAACCCTGTCAAATAAAAACAACAACAGCAAACCCACCAACACAAAAGGAATGGCCAAACTGGCAGAATAGCTCTTTGATGGTAGAAGCCAGGGTAGAGACAGCTGTCCTCAGGGTGGGCAATGGCTGTGGGTGAGAAAAAGTGGAATTTCTGTTGGTATTTGGATTCTTAATCTTGTGATGGTGATGCTTCAAAATTGATTGATTGGCTTGAACGTGGGAGGCAAAAACAGGCGGTTCTCTATGAGTTCAAGGCCAGCTTGGTCTACAAGCCAGTTCCAAGACAGCCAAGGCTACACAGATACTCTGTCTCAAAAACCAAAAAAAAAAAAAAAACAAACAAACAAACAAAAAAAACCAAACAGCTAAATAAAATGCAGTCGCAGTTGGGTGGTGGTGGTACAGCACTCAGGAGGCAGAGGCAGGTGAATCTCTGAGTTTCAGGCCAGCCTGGTCTACAGGGTGAGTTCCAGGACAGCCAGGGCTATGCAGAGAAACTCTGTCTCAAAAACAAACAAACAAAATGCAGTCTCAACCTGGGAAGTACAAGCTTGCTTATACCTGTGAGACTTTGGCACTTATAGCCTATTCTTCCAATGAGTACCCTGAAAGCACTGTCCGTTTCTTGAGTCCTCTTGTCTAGGATAAATGTGATTTGCAATTGTAATGCCAGAAGAAAGCAGTCTAAATAGTCTTTCTCTGGTGACCTTGGTCATCTCCATTGTTTTACTGACAGGCAAGAAGAATGTTTGAAGGTGAGATGGCAAGTTTAATGGCCATTATGAAGACAGACACAGTGAAAGTACCCAAGCCCATCAAGGTTCTGGATGCCCCAGGAGGTGGGAGCGTGCTAGTGATGGAGCATTTGGACATGCGGTATCTGAGCAGGTCTGTCCTGACACCGTCCTTTCTGGTTGAAAGCAAAGGCTTTATTTTTCTCCTGTGTGGTTCTCTTATATTGGAATCTTGTATTTGGGGGCATGATTTGGAGGTGTGGTGTAAAGAGCCCGTGACTACACAGACGACGGCTCTATAGCATGAGTGGCATGTCCTCTCTGCCAACTAAAAGAGGGCTCTCTCCAGAGACTCAGTTGCCAAGTCTAAGAAGACTAGGAAAGGTGGTCAAACAATGGGAACCCTGTGTTTTGATTTTGTTTATGTTTGAAACAGGGTCTCATTCGGCTGTGTCTTGGTCCTCCGACCTCTTCTTGCTATTGTGCCACCTCACCTAGTTTTCTTCTTATTTCAGTAGAATGAACATAAAAAAAGGTTTATTTATTTTATTTTATGTGTATGGGTATTTTGCCTGTGTGCACAGCACAGGTACGTGCACCACATGCATGCCTGGTGTGGTAGAACCCTGGAACCATATCCATTTGGACAGCAGTGAGCTGCCATGTGGGTCCTCGAGAGGAACAACCGTGCTCTTGACTACTGAGTCATCTCTCCAGCCTCCAGTAGAATGGACTTTCTGCTCGGTGCAGGACCTGCTTTATGTGCCTTGAGATCTTTCAGAGGGATCTGCTGTTTGTGTGTCATCTGTTTAGTTCCTGCATTTTGGTTTTAGTCATGCCGCCAAGCTTGGGTCCCAGCTTGCAGATCTACACCTCGAGAACAAGAAGCTTGGAGAAGGGCTACTCAAGGAGGCTGGCACCGTGGGTAAGGGACTGTGTGAGCCCTCAGGGACCCTGTCTGGAGAAGGGCCTTCAGCCAGCATGGGCTCAGGGATGGGGTAATGCTGTATGCCAAAGCATGAATGGTCACCCTAAGGCTGCACATTTGCAGTGTGGTGAACACCATGGATACGATTGGCATAATGTGTCTTAGAAATACTGAAAAACAGGAAATATCACTGGACTTGAAGCCATGTGATATTATGGTTGCTTTATGCCCGAGTCTCCAGAAGGGAGTCTAATCTAAGTTGTTTTGGCTTTCAATATAAAGTGATTCCTTTAAACACTTTTGTCTTCTCTTCCATGTACACATCATTCTTGAGGCTCAGAATGGCAGCCCTAACACCGCCCATCTAGAACAAAGTCTGATGTTAGCGCTGAGAGAACTTTCCAGTATTTTTAGGCTGACAGTTGATAATTCATGTGTCCCTCATGTGCTGACTCTGTTAGGCAGAATAGCTGACAGTCAGAAAGCAGATAATCCAGAATCTACCGTGTAAAGTTCCATTGGTGGGTCCTGGCAGTCGGCCCATCCTGTGAAGATATGCTGGTAGTGCCACCAGCCTGCCTCCTTGTCCTGTGAGGATCTACTAATAGGCCTTGTAACTGGCTTTCCTTTGCTTCCAGGCTGCATGAATTCATTTAACTGAGACTTTCTTGAGTTTGGGAAGACACATGAGGTTGAGGCCATTTCAAAGTATAATAGGTTTTTGTTCATTTGCTTTTTGTTTTGTGAGACATGGTTTCTTTGTGTAGCTTTGGCTGTCCTGGAACTGGTTCTGTAGAGCAGGCCAGCTTCGTACTAACAGAGATCTGCCTGCCTCAGACTCCCTAGTGCTAGGATTCAAGGTGTGCCCACTACCCAGCAAGAAAAATAGTTTTATCTGTCAAAAATGCAACTATATTGACCACTGAAAAACCTCTTTTCCTGATGGATGGTTTGGTAGATTATTTCTCCTCTTTAAACAAATTCGCATTTTATTTATTTATTTTTTGACAGAGTTATGTATTCCTCCATCCCATGCATCCTCTGATACTTGGTTCTGCTTCTGGAGTAGCTAGTGTCCTTGGTTATTAGGTCTGCTAAAGCAGATGCTGTTCTGAGTAATTCAAGGTCTTGCTTATCTCTGGGTATAGGCATGAGGTGGTAATGGCATACTGACTGAAAAGCAACCACTCTGAGCTCCCAGTGTGGGCTGAGGGTCTCTTGGGACAAACTAGTCACCTTTTTTTGTTGTTGTTGTTTCTTTTTGTATGAAAGGGAAAGGAAGTGGACAGGCAGAGCGGCTCTTTGTGGACCAGTTTGGATTTGATGTGGTGACATGTTGTGGATACCTTCCCCAGGTGGGTGCCTCAGAACTTACTTCTATTTCACAGTCAAACACAATGGGGAAATTACCCTGTTCCTTTTCTGTGAGATTTTGTAAGTCTTTGGACCCTTTCCCTAATAATTTTTTTTGGGGGGGTTTCAAGACAGGGTTTCTGTGTATAGTTTGGGAGCCTGTCCTGGAACTCACTCTGTAGACCAGGCTGGCCTCGAACTCACAGAGATCTATCTGCCTCTGCCTCCTGAGTGCTGGGATTAAAGGTGTGCACCACCACTGCCCGGCTTCCCTGATGATTTTTAAGAAGTTGACATGAAGTAAACTCACATGTTAGATTAAGAGAGAAAACGAGACAGAAGGAACAGCAAGTTAGGATGTTGGATTTCAAGGAGGGGTTAAAAATTAGAAAATTTGTGACTTTTATTTTGCTTATTTTTTATAATTTATTTATTTTTTTGTTTTGAGTCAGGGTCTTACTATATACCCCTGGATGGCCTGGAACTCACTGTGTAGACTAGATGTGGTCTCGAACTCATAGACATCTGTCTGTTTCTGCCTCTTAATTCTTGGGATTAAAGGTGTATGCTGCTATGCCTAACTTATTTTTAAAGGTATGTGTGTGTGTGTGTGTGTGTGTGTGTGTGTGTGTGTGTGTACCTGCTAAGGCAGAAGAAGGAGTTAGATCTTTTAGAACTGTAGTCATAGGTGGTTGTGAGTAGCCTGACATGGGTGCTTCTAACTGGAACTTTTCTGTATCCCGCCTGTGATCACTCAGAGGCATAATATTATTTACAAACTGTTTGGCCTATTAGCTCAGACTTATTATTAACTAGCTCTTACAACTTAAATTAACCCATTTTTATTAGTCTATATTTGATCACAAGGCTCGTGGCTGGTTACCTTACATCTTGCTTCTCTGGAGGCTCCCGGACTCCACCCTTCTTCACCCTGTATCTCTGCTTGGATTTCCCACCCGGCTCTATTCTGCTTGGCTATTGACCATATCAGCTTCTTTATTAACCAATGATAATAAGATATATTCACAGCATACAGAGAGACATCCCACATCAGGTGCTGGAACCTGAACTCTGGTTCTCTACAAGAGCAGCAAGTACTCTTAACTGCTAAGCCATATCAGCAGTTAGGTATTATAAGTAATGAGGAGGTGATTTAAGTATATGGCAGGAAGTGTGTGGGTTCTGTGCAAAGTACATTGTTTTATTTAAGAACCCGGACATCTGAGGACTTTACTATGAGTAGAGGTCTTGGGTCCACTCCCCTGTGGATCCAAGTGTCAAACTATCAAAAACTCTACATGTGAATAGCTGTTTTTTAGTTCCTGCCTGCCTTGACCTTCCTGAAATGATGGAATATAATCTGGAATTGTAAGATAAAAAAAGCAAGCAAACAAGAAATACCCCTAGGTTGATTTTACCAGGGTATTTTACCACAGTAACACAAAGGAAACTAGGAAAGCTCTTTGCCAAGAGGAGTATATGCAGAATCTAGAAACTTCTAGATGTTTTATGGTGGGCACAGAGACCATAGATTGAGAAATGTGTACGAGGTCATATGTAAGCCTGTCTTGTATGGGGTTTTCAGGGTCTACATGTCTAGGGTGTGTGTCTTCTGGCATTGGTCCTTCCTCTCTGGCCTGAAACTCATGATGCACGTGTGTTCATGTGCAGATATGTGCATATATGTGCATAACCCTATATGTGTGATTATGTGTGTGGTGTTTTGTCCTTCTGTGTCATGTCCTTCTCTGAGCTGATTGACTCTCTCTTACCTAACTTAACTTCCCTCCTGGGTGGTAAGCACCTGTGCCGGGACATTCTTCTTCGGAAGTTCTTCTGAAAGAGGCTCCATATGACTTTTCTCATCTCTCTTAGGACAAGGTAAAATGTGGCCAGGTAGGTGTTGGAAGACGGTCAGAAACAAGCCATGAGATCCAGAGGGTCATCTAGCTCTGGCCTTTGTTCCATAGTTGTTATAATTAAATTGTTTTAGTTGATCTTTAGGCTTTGAAGGCTGCAACTGGTCACCTGACATACCCCGCTTACCATTCCCCCACAGACACTGGACCTCCAGTCTCAGCCTATGTCTAGGCTTCATGTGCCAGGTCTTCCCTCAGCCTCCTGTGGCTGCTGTTCCTCTTCATGCTTCCTGTAGCCCATTCTACTTTGGGATTTCAGAACTTCAGTCCTGAAGTTTTCTGTAAAGGCTGGTTTTGTGTGTCAACTTGACACAAGCTAGAGTCATCAGAGGAAGGAGCCTCAGCTGAGAAAGGCCTCCATGAGATCCAGCTGTAAGGCATTTTCTCATTTGTGATCAATGGGGGACGGCCCAGCCCATGGTGGGTAATGCCATCCCTAGACTGGTCCTGGATTCTGTAAGAGGTGGGTCCAGCAAGCCAAGGGAAGCAAGCCAGTGAGCAGCACCCCTCCATGGCCTCTGCATCAGCTCCTCTCTGGGATCCTGCCCTGTTTGAGTTCCTGTCCTGACTTCCTTCAGTAATGAACAGCAATGCTGAGGTGTAAGCAAAACAAACCCTTTCCTCCCCAATTTGCATTTAGGTCATGGTGTTTTGCTGAAGCAATAGAAACACTGACTAAGACAGTCTGCTATCTCCTTTAATGTCTCCTGTGCAGGTAAATGACTGGCAGAATGATTGGGTCACATTCTATGCCAGGCAGCGCATTCAGCCCCAGATGGATATGGTAGAGAAGAGGTCTGGAGACCGGGAAGCTCTTGAGCTGTGGTCTGCTCTGCAGGTGAGCAGGACCTCTGCTATATGCCCAGTGCCAACAGTATGAGCCCGGATAAAGGGGAGGCACCAAGGCAGGGGTAGCATCAAGTCTGCTTCTTACAACAGTGTCCCGTCTACTCCCTCTAAGTTAGGCACCCCTGAGTAACTGCTCAGATAGATACATGAAACGGCACTTAGGAAAACATCTGCACCTCCATATTCATTGACCACTTTAAGGCTCCATCTTCTTCCTTGCAGTTGAAGATTCCTGACCTATTCCATGATCTGGAAATTGTGCCCTCTTTACTTCACGGAGACCTCTGGGGAGGGAACGTAGCAGAAGATTCCTCTGGGCCCATCATTTTTGATCCAGCTTCCTTCTACGGCCACTCAGAATATGAGCTGGCAATAGCCGGCATGTTTGGGGGCTTCAGTAGCTCCTTTTACTCTGCCTATCATAGTAAAATCCCTAAAACCCCAGGATTTGAGAAACGCTTGCAGTTGTATCAGCTCTTTCACTATCTGAACCACTGGAATCATTTTGGATCTGGGTACAGAGGGTCCTCTCTAAACATAATGCGGAATCTCAGCAAATGAACTGGCCGGAGGGCAGAGTCTCTTGAGTGTGCTGAATCTTCTCACAAGAGGACTCCATGTCTACACCAAGTCTACCCGTCATAGCATCACTGTGAACTGAGGGAAGGGCCTGGAGTCAGTTGACCAGATTCCAGTTATATGGTCAAGGAGCTCCTGATGCTCCATGGTCCTTCTCCTCGTGGATTCTCCCCGTTTACCCCATGACTGGACTTGCTTAAGATTCCTTTGCGTCTTATTTCTAAGCTTTGTAAAGTAAGGGTTATTTCAGAAGAAAGGTTGTATAATTCTGAAGTTGTGTACGTTGTAAGACTTTCTGGCTAGATTAGGCCTTGCTGGGGGTGTGAACAGAGACCTATGAAGTTAGGGATAGTGGCCACACAGGTAGAGGAATGGGAGTGCCTATGTTGGTGTGCGGAGGGTGCCCACTGTGCAGGGAAGTGGCCAGTGCGTCCCCCTCCCAACACTTCCTTGTCCATTGTCAACATTTCTGAACTATTCACAGTGATCCTTTGTCATGACTAGGCTTGATCTACACATGGAGTCATCTCGTTATAAGATCTGAGTAAAGACCAATTCTAAAATCAGTGATATTCCCTTTGGTTGTGTAGTGCTTCTGAGCCCTGCTACAAGCTGAGATGGTCTGGAGATTGGCTTGAGGACTGACCAAGCTAGCAACCTTAGGGTAACTTGGTTCAGTTTAGGAGCCTGGAAATATTCCTGTTATGCCAGCTTTGTGCTGTTTTCTTTTTCTTTTGTTTTGTTTTGTTTTTGAGACAGGGTTTCTCTGTGTAGCCTTGGCTGTCCTGGAACTCACTGTGCAGGTTAGATCTGCCTGCCTCTGCCTCCTAAGTGCTGGGATTAAAGGTGTGCACCACCACAGCTAAAGCTGTCATTTCATTGCAACATACGAGCATTTATATTAATATTTTTCTGTCTTTCAATATTGTAGAAATGGGAAATTCCATGAATGACATTGATAAATCTTTTTGCTTAAAAATTTGAATAAAATTGCAAATGTTTCAGTGATGCCTAAGACTTATTTCCACATTTATGTACTAAACATTTATTTTAGCTGTTTGCCAGAAAATATTGTAATTCTATATTGTGACAATAAATAGGTACAATTTTTGTTCCTGTTTTGAAAGGGGACTGTATTAGTTATTTCTCTATTGGTGTGATAAAACATCATGGCCAAGGCAATTTATAGAGGAAAGAGTTGACTTAGGCTTACAATTAAAGAGGGTTGGGTCCCTAATGGAGGGAATCAAACGGCAGCAGGTGACAGACTTGGTGACTCGAGCTGGGAGCTGAGAGCTGAGAACTTACACCTCAAACTGCAAACAGAAGACAGAGAGCGAACCTGGAAAGACCTGCGGCTTTCAAACCTCCAAGCCACCCCCAGTGACTTACTTCCTCCAGCAAGACCACACCTCCAAACCTACCCAAGTAGCACTACCAACTGGGGACTAAATATTTAAACATCTGAGCAAAGGAGGACATTTTCATTCAAACCACCACAGGGTCTCATGTAGCCTAGGCTAGCCTTGAATTCCTGGTTCTCCTCAGCTGGTGGGGAATGTCCTTCTCTATATATGTTTCTTTCATTGGTTGATGAATAAAACACTGTTTGGCCAATAGAGGGAGGAAGATAGGCAGGACTAGGATGAGGAGAATTCTGGGAAAGGGAGGCAGAGAGAGCCCACCAAAGACAGTCGTCATATAGTTGACAAAGGAGTAGAGGGTCCAGACATTCTCTGGTAAGCCAGGACCACATGGAAATACATAGATTAATAGACATGGGTTAATAATTAAGACAGAGCTAGCCAATAAGAAGTCCTAGTCATCAGCCAATAGTTTTATAATTAATATAGCATCCTGTGTGCTTATTTGGGGCTGACACAGTGGCAGGACCTGGTGGACAAGAGATAAACCTCTGTAACACTCAGCCCTTTGCTAACCTCCTCTCCAGTTTGCTTTTTGCTTTTGTTTACAATATTGTCTTTCACACCATGAAATTAACCCTACTACTATCTTAAGAGACTTAGTATCCCAACTATCTTGCCTCTGAATTGTTAGTGGCTCTTATTAGCCCACCCCCAATTGTGTCCTGTTCTCACAGGTTCTTTCTGTGTGCCTCTCATGTAATTATCGTCAGTCATGACCTGTGTGAAGGAAAGCTCAAGGGGCTGTGAGACGATGATGGGCTCTCCTTCTGAGATAACCTAGTAGTCTGTCCAGAGATTGCTGACAGATTCACCTGAAACACATCCCTGGGATTTTAGACACAGTTACACAGAATAGCCTAGAAACCTCCAGAGAGAGGACAGAGCCTATGAAGAATCAAAATGCCTCCAACCTCCCAATACTTAAAGACGGTGGTAAGCAATGGTGCCTTCTTTGTCTGAAAGAGAATGGTCTGACTGACCTGAAATTCCATACACAGTCAATTTGTCAGCCAATAACAAAAAAGTTTTTGGTTGTACTGGTCTCAATGCTTTATGTCAAGGTGCAGTGGTAGGACGGGCCTCAAATAGAGGCACCAGTTAGGTTTCCTATGGATGGCTGTTCTACCTGTTTTTTGTAGTGTCAAGTCCACTTACTTGGTATGGCCTTGAAGGATCACAGCCAGTAGTGTGGGGAGCAGAGAAGGGTTTGTTTTTCACATGAGCCCGCAAGATCAACACCCTTTCCTCCGGGAGAAGCTCACAGAATGAGAAGGCTTTCCTATGGACTGAGTGTGAATGTAGATAGTGCATGCAGAAATATCTGCCATAGCTTTTTCCTCTCAGATATTTACTGCTTGAAGACCGTGCCCCTACAGAGACTGCTCCCACTGAGGCTAGTTAGGCCTGCCACCTTGATTTAACTCTATACCACAAACCCTGTCCACTTGTTCTGCCATAATAGTGAACTTACTGAGATTCTGGGATGCTGAAGCTTCTTCACCAGAGAGCCCAGCCACTTTATTCCAGCTTTTCTGTGTGTCCATATGCTTGTCTTTTCTTCATTTCCTCAACACCCCAATTAGGTCAGTCCCTGGAGCCGTGTAAGACCCGGCACAGAGGGAAGATAGGGAAATGGTGCTTGGCTTTAGAACCAGGTTAGAGAAGGCCCTTGGGGGTGGAACCCTGGCTCTAGAGATGCCCACGCTGGCCTCCATGATTGGGAATGATCAAGCCACATTGGGAGGCCATATCAATGTGCTTTGGTTGATAGTGTCCCATCATCCCACATAGGTGCCAGATACAGGAATTATTAAAGCACCTCAGGGAACCCAGTCTCAGTTTTGAGCCAGGGACAGACCACAGGACTACAGGGATAACCGGGACTGACAGGTTTTGCCCCTCTGAGGCCTGCTGGAGCTCCAAAGATAGGCTTGTTGATTGCAGCCTCATACACAATATATCTTCTGTGCTTTGGGCTTCATCTTCAAAGTTGCTTCACCATTAATATGAGGGTGTCTGATAGGGCAACAGTGTTGCAGAGCTGTCAGCTGGCAGGTCAAGAGGGAAACACTGAGCTGCATGGTGTAGTCAGGCTTTCTATGGGAAGTCTTGTCGCACTACGGACCTGAGACTAGGATTCAGAGGCTGGGACCCAAAGCCGGATTCAGTTTCACATACTCTGAGCTATGTCCCTGCACTGGGTCTGGTGCAAGTTAGCTCCTCTATGCTTCAGTTTCTTCGTAGCGAAGATGGGATCTAATTATAGGATCCTCTCATCAAATAGTTGTGAACTTTGCTGACATTCGTTTGTGCCCTAGCACATACTGAAAGCTCAGCAATGGGTCATTCACCCCACTAATCTTCCTAGTCCCTTTACAGTCAGCTGAGACATTACAGTACAGGAGGGGCACCAGCAGCTCATGGTGGGGTCTGGGATTTGAGGCAACCTCTCCTGAAACACTTGATGGTTACCTCAGCACACACTGTCCCCTACCCCAGTCTGTGAATGTGTTCTTGTATACATATGTGTGTGCCCATGTACACACAAGCATTTATGTCTTGAAACTCCTTTCCTAGTCATGGCTGTCCAGAGTCCCACCTACCCTGGGTGGGGCAGGCTGCTGCTATCACAACCCCCAGAGCAGCTTTTATCTTTTATCACCTAGCCCTGTGGCATTAAAGGTGCCACCAGGGCCTAGCTAGGGCAACCCCTCCCCATCCCCCGGCTATGATGCCACCCTAATCTGGACAGTGAGAGCCGAGCTAAGCATATAACCTCTCTACAGGATGGCTGAGTCTTTAGGGTGTGCCTTGTCTTGCAAGGATAAAGGAGCCCTGGCCCAAATCTTTCTGGGGGCACTCCTGATCCGCCCAGTTGGGCAGTGAGCACAGGGCTTAGGGTGGACCCCAGATGTGTGCTGATGTGCTGGGACATCACATGTGTGCTGTGAGGACACGAAGACACTTCTTTCTGTGTCCCAGGCTTTACAGAACATCAGGACCAGGTCTGGGGTCCTGTTCCTCCAGGGTGAGTCAAGCTGGCATAGAAATTCCCGAATGAGTCTAGTAGAAGAGCTTCGAGAGCCTTTGCATCCCCGCTACCCCCGGTAGAGATTGTCTTGGATAGAGAAATAGCTGTCTGGTCCAATTCCCCCTTACTCCCCTTCCCATCCCAGCCCTGGTGCACTAGGAGCCTGCAGGGATAGTGCGCACCCAAGTGGCTGCTAAGAGCCAGTAGGCCACACGTCACTGAGTCCAAACCTTGTTGTGGCAGGGCAGCAGCGCCCCCCCCCCCCCCACCGCCCCCGAACTGCGTGTTTCCTTCTGGTATCCAGGTCCCCTCCTCTGTGTCATCTCCCGGCATTCTGGTCCTCGAGTCTCCATGGAGCAGCTGTTGCGCGCCGAGCTGCGCACCAAGACACTGCGGGCCTTTGGGAGCTCCGGGGCCGGCTGCATCAGCGAAGGCCGTGCCTATGACACCGACACTGGTCCGGTGTTTGTCAAGGTCAACCGCAGGACGCAGGTGCGCTGAGGGGTGTGCAAGGATGAAGTCCGGGAAGTGGTGGGGGAACAAGACCTGGTGTCCCTACCCTCTGCAGAGGGATCAGCACCTACAGGCAGGCTTCCTCTTGGGACCGAGGATTTGTCTTTGCTACATGATCACTTTCTTGCTCCCAGCACCCCCTCCCCGCCCCCCCCCCACGGGCTTTACATTTCTGTAGTCACTGACCATGGAGGAGATGCGTCTTAGTTGTAAGCTGCATCTGCCCATGTCTGGTCCTGCAGTCTCCCAACAGACGGGGAAAGACAGGATTCCCGGGGCCAGGGTAGCACTATCCTCCTCACAAGCTCTGATGTTACTAGGACCCTTAAGATATTCCCGTTTAAGAATGTATGGAGCCAGGAATATTGTCACCCATTTATAAGCATAAAACTTAGGAGGCTGAGGATGGTGAGTTTCAAGCCAGCCTGGGCTACATGAGGAGACCCTGACTCAAAACAAAAACAAAATAAAACTAACAACAACAAAAGAATGCATGGAAAACTCTAAGACAGATGGAGAGTGTTAGCTAAAGGCCAGGAGAGAAAGCTGTTGATGGAACAGCCTGGTGCTCCCCCTGCTCTGGGGGTTTCCAGAGGTCCTGTGATCTGCAGGGAGGAGTAGTGGACAGTGGTTCTAGTAAGTATGCTGACTGTGGGGAAAAGAGAATTCCAGAGCAGCCCTTTCATTAGAGATGGTGTCAGGAGTAGGATTATCCTGCATTCTCTGTAGTGTGGGCATCGTTTGGAGGCTTACCCTGGAAGCATGGCTGAGGTTTGCATATGACCTCCAATCAGGATACTCAGCACACACCTTTTAGTCCCAAGCGCAGGCTGGCAATCTGAGGACACCTGTCTGACTTTCCCCTTGGAAATTTGAATATAAGGGGAAGAATTCTTTTCATGTGTGATAATAAGTGTTTTGGCTTCAAGTTTTTTAATTAAAAATATTAAATTATTTTGTGTATATGCATGTGTATGTATGTGCGTGAGAGCTCTAGCTTGCACATACCATGACATATATAGAAGTCAGTGAACTACTGTTTGG